CCGTGTTTTTATTTGAGTTGTTCGTGGCGCAATGCACTCTGGTTAAATGCAATGCATTGTGGTAAAAAGTGTGGTTAAATGCAATGCATTGTGGTAAAAAATGATGAATTTGAGAATTCGTCGCCCCTTATATATATTTCCTTTAAATCCTGATTATGTTGCTGCTCGCTCCCTTCGGTCGCTCCGCAGCAATGAAAGTAAATAAAAAGAAATGCTGCCCTATTATGATGAACTGGAGCAAAAATTCGGTACAACAGCGTCTTCTGCGCTCATGTCATTATCCCCTTGTTTTTTCCACCTTATCTCTAATAAGCAAGGTATCAACGCAGTAAACTTGTAATTATTTCCGTGTATGAAAGAGAGATTCATTTAACACATAATTTTTTAGAATTTTTTTATTTCACTAAACTTCTCCCCGTTTAGTAGTTGGATAGGCTGCGGTCTTGAGTGATGACTTCTCGAGCTTCTGTAAACATGACAAGGTGGTTTCAAAATGGAAGTACATGTCGCAAACGAGAAATGTACACTAATATGAACCTTTGTTAGTTTTGAAGATTTTTAACGTTATAATTACTGCCTCCTGCACAAACATATGGCTATATGTCGCTTTGTTTTCGCATCCCAAAATTTAGCAATAAATTCTCGAAAGTTTACTCATGATGTTACCAACAAAATGATCGAGGATATGTAACTTCGGGTTGATCGTAATATTACAGCAATAAACTCCCTGGCCTTCTGAATAAACACAACAGATAATATTTGGATATCAGTATCCATGTATAATTTGTTTTTTAAAGATACACGAAATGGGGGAACTAAGAGGAATTTGGGTGTTTGTAAAGTTATACAAGCTGCACAATGCAGAAAAAAGAATATAAACCTAAACAAAGACAACAACAACAACGAATTTGAAATAGTCCAAGGAGCGCTTATTTTTTTCGGAAAACACATTTTGAATCTCAACGCCAATGGCTTCCAATAGTTTTAACCCTTATGAGTTACACCCACAAGAGTAAGTTTTGCTAGCTGTTTTCCTCCTGGTCTTCTGAATAAACGAAAAGAGTATGACCATATTATCAGCTGGGACGAGAAGTACACATCAGTGGATATATAAGTGGGTGGATTACAGCTCTTCATTGTACGTCTGTGTTAATACTGTGAACTTTTCGTGCTCTACGGCGGAACATCATGAAGTGCTCAGTAATATTCATCCTGATTGGGTTATTGGCCCAAACTCAAGCCGAAGATGACGAAACAATGGCGTTGGTAAGGTCATGTAAGACTATACAAGATTAATATTTGGACGAATTTCTGATTTTTTTTTTTCATCCCATGTCAGTTGTTGCTGGCTCTCGTTTGTATATCAATTGTCTTAAAAAAGGCCAAATGACCAATGATCGAAGGCTTAAGTTGTGGTATCCCTTAAGTAATAATATATAGATTTAGCCACGGCTAAAAGCGAGGCTCCCATTAATAAATTTATAATAAATCAACAATAAACTTGTATTCCACAATTCAGTAAACTTTAGAGCACATGCATGTAACTTTTGAGGGAAAGGCTAAGTGACTTTAGAAAAACATAATTTGCAAACAGCTTAAGATAGCCTCATATATACACACCCAAAATAGCAATCATCTTCGATCACATTTAAGAGCCATAATGGCTCTTGATCTCCGTAGATTACTTAGGCCTGGAAAAAAAATCAGGCCGAATTTTTTGCGTTCGACAAGTTTACTTAACAAAATCTTGCCATCAAATCTGGGTGCGTGTAAACCATCCTTTTATACCATTTATAAAACATCACATTTGAGGTGAAACAGTGCCATGAGGCACTGTTTTCATCATACATACCTCGGACAGAATGCAGTATTTCACAATTTTGCAATACAAAGTGCGCTCATTCAATATTCAGGACGATCGAAGAATGCGTGAGCTTTTAGCTAAACCGTTAAAAAAAATTTCCAAAACCATATATGCATGGCAAGCCGGTTCTCACTTTTAAAAATTGAGCTGTGGTCGTATCTGAATGAACATTATCGCTTCAACATAATAAAGAATTTATTACGGTTATTTTTTATTTAACATATGGTTTTATCGATGTCTAATCTTCAAATTAAAGCGTTTGATACGCGAGGCATTTTGAGTACTCCTGCAAGCGATGTTCACTGAACGACTGAACGGCACAGCGATTAATATAACAAGAGTGACTACTAACTATCAATAAAAGAAATATAATTCAGTGAAACATATACAGAGACAACAATTTTCATTTACGAAGACCAGTATTATTAAAAGAGTCTCTAAAAATCCCGAGTCTTCAAGCTTAAAGCTTAAGTTTATGTTTTATGCTTGCTTCCCGGTTTTTGCTTCTTTTCAAAGATGAACTCGAGGCACGAAAATCGCTCAAAGCTTTCTTTTGATCTTTCTTTTACAGCCAGAATTATAACTAAATATTCTTTGAAACGTTTTCTTTCTATTTGCGGTGAGAAAATGTCTAAAGGCTTTTTTAAGTTCTGTAAGCTCAAATCAAACCTGATACTCGGTCAGATCAGTCTCTCAAATCTTACAAACGCACATAAGCTAAATAGCCGTATAAACTATGCTCGACTTCATTAAATTAGATATAAAAACAAACTTCAAATACAATAATTATTCAGGCTTACCATTCGAGATGCAGCTCAAGAAAGGTTTCAAGTAAGCCAGTATCGCTTCAGACTTTACAACCCTCTTTACACATCAAGCAAGATGAAAAACGAAAACAATGCCATCCGAAATCGGATTTCCGACTTTGACAAGTGACGTATTTCTCAACCAAAAACCCGATAAACAAACTAGCCATGAATAACAGACGATTCCTGATAGAGCTGAAGTTCATTTTGTTCATATCCAGTAGAAAAAGACAGTTTAAAACATCACAAGTTGACACAAAACTCTGTAAGCTTCAGCTGTCAAAGTAACAAGATTCAAGATGCTGCATAAATTTTCAGCATCAACTCACCTGTCAATTTTTGACCAATCAGAGCATAAAAATTGGACGTAGAGCTTGACCAAAGCGTGACCATGGCGAGCAAAGTCAAAAGCAGAAATAGCTGCCTGAAATAGCTGGCTGAATTTTTGCGTCCGACTTCAGTTTGAAATCAAAATTTTAATTGTGCGGCGCATAAACACAACATATTTCATATCAATTTAAAAAATATATATACTTGAGCCTGCGATCTTTGAAAACTATTAACGTGTCATTGGATAACTTCAAAAAAAAATACTTGACCTCGATGGAAAGCTATCAATTGATCACAACGTTGATGTCCAATATGTATGCATTACCAGTTTTCCTGTTCTCCCAAAAAAAGTACGAGATTGAACATTGTTCGCGATCTAGTAAAACAATTAACTGGTCAGCGGACAGCTTCCAAATAAATCACGTCACCTCGATGAGTTGACACATGAGCCCGCGATATGGTCATGGGATAATGGTCAGTGGCTATCCTGTTTTGACAGCTGTCAATTGACCATATTGTAAATGTCCTATATAAAAGATGTGGGCTTGCCAAGACACACCTCAGACACCCCTCCTTTCCTTTTGATAGTCTCCCCTACCCCACCTGTACAATCTGTAGACGCGTACGTACGCTCGGTCAATCACGTGACAACCAAACAAAAAGAGGTTGACCATATTCCATGAGTATGGGGCTCTGTAGGAGCGCGTGGGAGCCCCAACTGAACAGCCACAAAAGTTATGGTTCTTGTTGTTATTTTTCTTCTTCTTTTATTTTGATAAGTGACATCACTACACAGTCTACCTGTACTTTAGGTAAATAAATTAACATAACCAGCGGTAAATATGTCAACCAAGTTGGCCATTTCTTTTGACCAATTTATTTATTTTGCCCTTTTCGCCTACTGAATTTACTCCAACTTCATATCTTTTCATGATGCAGAAATTTCTCAACCAGTACCATTACATCTCGACATCGAGGTCTGGCAATCACAATGTTGATTTAGCAATCAGACGTTTTCAGCGATTCGCTGGTCTCAAGGTAACTGGAAAACTTGATCGTGCCACCATCGACCAGATGAAAAAACCGCGATGTGGATTGCCAGATGACGAAGAAGAAGGTGGTCGCGTGCGCCGATACACATTAACTGGTGATAGTTTTTGGTTAATTATTGCAATTGACTTTATGTGTTTGTATATTGCAACGCGTCTTACCTTAACCAATACTCTATTCTTTAAAGGAAAAGATGCGTGTAAGACAAGGAAAGAACCTAAATACGTATGAGAAACACACGAAGTGTCAAGTATTTGCCCCTTTTAACTTCAAAAAACGATATCAAAATAAAAGAAAGAAAATTAAAAAGAATAAATGAATAGAAATAATCATCTAACAACAGAGAAATTTAAGTCTCTAGTAAATCTTTGCTTTTTTACGAAAATATGCAATTTTTTTTTTTTTAGTAACAGACAGCCAAATTTTATTAAATACTAAATACATTTTTGTTTCATCCCTATTATGCAGGCTCCAAGTGGAGCAAAACCAGCTTGACTTATTTCGTCGAGTATGGTGAAGACCTGAGTCATGACGAACAGGACACAATTTTTCAAAAGGCTTTGCAGTTTTGGTCTGATGTGTCTGCATTGTCATTTAGCACAGCTACCAGTTCCTCTGCTGCCGACATCAAAATAAGGTAGCAATTGCTTTTACAAAACACATTTTTTATTTGGATGATGGCTTTTCTATGTCTTAAGACCTATAAACACAACAAATGTAGTCAGTTGTGATGTAGTTCGTTATCGACGTTCTGTTTCATATTACTAGCTTCATCAGGCGATGAGGTCGACTTTCGGCTCACTTTTTAAGGCACGCGACGATGCTACGCTATGATTGGTTAATTTTCAGCTGTATTCGTGAGGTACACGTCAAATGCATTATCATTATTATCATTATTATTATTATCATTATTATTATTATTATCATTTTTGAATAATAATAATAATAATAAATTATTATTATTATTACAAGTGATGCCGGTAAAAGTAAATTAGAATTGTTTTAAACTATATAAAGCTCCGAGTTTAAACCTTAAAATAATTTGATCAAAAAGGATCAGCTTTTTCGTCCTTCTTTAGTGCCGCATATTAATACGATGAATCACGGCCCAAGGCTGTCTGCTATATTGAGAAGTGATTCCATTTGATATTATTGAAACGAATGAATAAAAATTGATCGCTCTTTTGGATATTCAAATCACGTCCGGTAACTTACAAATCATGTCAAAGAGAATGTAGAATCAACTATTACAGCTGATTCTTAAGTCGCGGCACAAACCGATTAATAAAATGGATTTACGAAGAGAGATACGAATTGCTCTTACTGTAAAGAAAACACCGACTTAATCACAGCCTGCAAACCACTAAGCTGAATATTATGTCATGTTAGGCCCCTTACAAACGTGGAATTTCTTATGAGTGCCGAACATCTATTTTAGTTGATGAAAGTAATTAATTTTTTTATACCTGCGCTTATATGTAAATATGTTTTTACTTTAATTTGTATTTATTTATTTTGTGTCCCCTAATTAGCATAGGTTTTTAACCTAAGCTAGGAGGCTTCTTTAGACACCTTAATAAAGTTTCATCATCATCATCATACGGCAGTTGATTCAGACGTCGGATATGATGGTGCCGAATTTAATTCTGTTTGTTGTAAATATTTCCAGTCTCTAAAAAAAATTATCCAATACGGATAAGGGTTTCTATGATTAATGCATTGTATTCGGCAGATGTGAAATGCCACTTCTAGATGAAATGTTGAACCTAAGTCGAATTTTCGACTGTTTCAGTCGCAGATTTGACAAAGTCGTCCGAAAGACGTCCTATCTCAAAGCTGAGTTACCTCTCGAATGAAATTAGGCACATGTGAAAATTGACGATTGAGCTGGGTAATGATAACAGTGCCCAATATTACTAAAAATACCGGTGGATACGCTGATACATACCGCATTTTTTATATTACTGTAAACTTTACTTTCAGTTTACCACATTATGTTACTAGCTATTTGCACCGTAAAAACGAGAGCAAAAAAGAGAACCGTATGACCGCACGATTCTCTCCCTTCTTGTAAGGGTGACTTTTCATTGGTCGGAAAAACACATTAACACAATATTTTTCCTCATTATTTCTATTGTTTTAGGTTAGGGTAGCAAGCCATTTTTCTTTTAGGGTTAGAAGAGCTGCTACATGACCTCTCTCCCCGGAATGAAGAATAAATATATCCTTTTAGTTTTTAGAGTTATCCTTTATTAACAAACGTTGAACATTTATTTCGGCAACAAACAGTTAAGTTGAAAAAGGATTTTACAGAAGTCTCAAGACTAGGTCTCCTTTTCGATTTTACCTTACAATATCGGTCAATTTACGCAACATTTAAGCTTCTGGCTCAGTTTTCGTTTGGTTCTGCTTTGAAAATGGAATAATAATTACTCAGAGACAACACAGTGTAAAGAATTGTCGAGAAAAACAGCAAAAACTTGCCAATTTATGACAAAAAAGGTACGTTAAAAGCGAAATAAAACATTCAAAACACTTTGATCGCGTGACTGATGACGTCATGTATCTCCTTTGATCATGAAAAAAAATATCAGGAAGAACATTACTTTCCCGCAAATTTTCTCTGCCGTGTGATGGAAGGTTGACTCTCTACAGCCCCCGGCCTAGTCTCCCGACTTTTTCCCTCATGTTCATTACTCCCTTAAATTTTAGATGCCGGACTTCAACTGGTTATTTTTAAATGCCCCACACAACTAAAACCACAAATATGCTATTTTCTTTAGACTCGTTAATGGAATCTTGTCACAGCAACAAAAAAAACTAATTCCGAAATAGTCACGTGACTGATGACGTCATTACCTTAGATTTGACATGGGAGGATATTTTATGGCAAATGTTATCTTGTTGTGGTCTGACTGTCCTTTACATATAAAATTGTCAAAGTTATACAGCTTTTTAAAACAAATGCTTCAAAAGATTCCGGGAGATTTTTTTTATGATAATTATGAATTAGTTTTATAATTATTGATACTAATACTCAAATATACATCGAACCACAATATTTAAGAACTGAACACTTATCGCTCTTGAAAAGAGAGGATAAAGAGGACAGAGAAGGCATCCCCCATACACACCCTATTTCATAGGTAATTCGTCTAGAGCTATTTTTACGACCACAGATCCCAAAGGGGATTAGACAACAGCCAATCACATAGAGGCGAGTGTGTTCCGGGTGGATGACCCACGCTCAGAGCCACGCGTCCTTCACGAGTTGACGCAGAACAAAATGGAGGAAGAAGCGGAGAGCGATATTGCTATTCGTTTTGTCGACGAAAACGACTACAGAGAGATTTAAGCTAAAGCTGTGTCAGCGAAACGGAAATTTAAAAAAAATCGCCCTTACTCTCTTGTATAGAGCTAACAGTACAGCAGGGAAATCCTTAACACACTGAACATTCTCTCAGGATCATTTATAATTTACAGTTTGAAGAGAGCAATTTCTGGTTTGATATTTATTCTTTTATTAGTATTTTATTGTTCAACCAAAAAAACACTTGGTGCCCCACTTGCTTTATAGTACAAACGACCGGTTTCAATAGACCGGCGAAATTTCTCATTTTATTAAAGCACTGAGGCTACGACAACTTCGAGTTAAACTGATTTCACGGGTTGTCAAAGAGTCCAGCGATTCCCTTTTCCCAGGTGAGCGACGACTCATTTCGCTTCAATATTCAGGAATGCTCTCGATCTCTTTACGCTTTCATTGCCTTTCGCCCGACATGTTTTGCACGGAATTTAGTCATGCGAAACCTCCACGAAACACCCACCCAGCGTACGAGGTAACTTTATCCCGATTCTAAAAATAACTCGGGACGAATTTCCTATGGAATAGGGTGTGTATGGGGGATGCCTTCTCTGTCCCCTTTATCCTCTCGTGCTCTTGATAATGATGTTCGAAACATCGAAACGTCAAGTAACGTTCTTAAGTTTAATTTTTCTTTTTAAATTCTTCAAAAAGCAACTGACTATCGGATCTTCTCACTGCTTATTATTGTGATTTACTATAATACAGTTTTGGCGCTGCTACTCATGGCGGTTCAAGTGAAAGCACGTGCCCATACCCTTTCGATGGTAAACGTGGAGTTCTGGCGCATGCGTACTTTCCATCGGATGGCCGCGCACACTTTGACGAAGACGAAGACTTTACTGACAACACCTCACAAGGAATTAACTTGCTTTGGGTCGCCACTCACGAATTTGGTCACTCACTTGGTATCGCTCATTCTGATGTTCAAGGTGCTATCATGTACCCTTACTACACGGGGTACGTGGAAGGCATGGAGCTACACTCTGATGACATTGCTGCAATCCAGTCTCTTTATGGTAACGTATTGGAATTTGTTTGTTTGTTTGTTTGTTTTAGAGTTTTTCCCCCCTTGCTCTTGCTCATATTTTTTACCACCACCTTCATGCCTTGCGGCAGTTGTTCTATTATTAGACCATACATGCTATCCACATGGTAAAGATGTACCCAACAATGAATTTCTCGGTATAACAAACGGTTTTCTTTATCTCAGTGTTAGTATTAAGGAAAAGAATCTCGATATAACGCAACCTGGTTATATAGCAAACACATTTGCCAATACTCTTGGGCATTTTGAAACTCAACGCCAATGGCTTCCAATAGTTTTAACTCTTACGAGTTACCCCCACAAGAGCAAGTTTTGTTAGCTGTTTCCCTCCTGGTCTTCTGAATAAACGAAAAGAGTATGACCATATTATCAGCTGGGACGAGAAGTACACATCAGTGGATTTATAAGTGAGTGGATTACAGCTCTTCATTGTACGTCTGTGTTAATACTGTGAACATTTCGTGCTCTACGGCGGAACATCATGCGTAGTTGGACAAAATCGCTTCTTGTTTCTTCGCACGATAACTTAATCTTAGATTTCTTTAATATCTACGGACATAACACATTATATTTCCTTCAACTAATTGTAGGATGCATCGATAAAGATAGCCGTTGCCAATACTGGGAAAGATACTGCGGTTCCAATGAATATGTTACGACAAACTGCAAAAAAACCTGTGGGTGCTGAAAAAAACTGAGGTTAGTAACTGCCGGCCACTTTTTAAGTGTTAAAATTCGTACTGTGCCCCGAGGCTAAGAAGATTTGAAAATAGAAGAAATGACTTATCCACCCCGGCATCTCAAAGCGCTTTTTTTTTTTAATTTTTTTTTTTATTTGAAGCCGTCAAAAAATGTTGGTCATTGGATTTTAAAGCCATATACTGCATATATGAAGTACGTTATAGCGGAGCTCTCAAGCGCAAAGCGAGCGCAGGGTACCACCATGGGTAAGAAAATGTGGTAATCTACCCATCCAAGAAAATTTGGTAATCACGTGACCGTAAACAGACCGAGAGACCGTCCGTCCGCACTGCAGGCTTACCAATGTAAAATAACTCAACCAGCAGGTATGGCAACCCAAATGCAACACGAGATTATTTTGGTGGGAAATCGCATAGCCACCCACGTCTTGTAAAACATAGCCAGCTGAAGACTCAATGAAGACGAAAACGGAAGCGGAAATTGTTTCTGTGTCTGTGTTGAGAGTAGGCGGCAGGCCAGCAAAACTCAACGAGAAAAAGAGCGACAGAGATCTAGAGCGAGAGATAAAAAAACAAAGGAGATACTTTCTGTGGGAACAACAACATGAAAATTTTGTAGCGGCGGTGACAAAATGAGAAATGCTAGCGGCCACCAATGCAAGTAGAAAATGAGCGGCAGTGAAAAGTGAAAAGTGAACGAGAACGCGTTCGACATTCCTCCATAAAAAAGAAGTTTCTGGAAGTTTCGCGTCGTAGTCGTACAAAACAACGGCAAAGAAATGTACAAAAAACAGTTTGTTGCACGTGCAAAGTTGTTTATTTTGCTAATTAGACCTATTGTCGTTTTTCACCGTTCTCTGGCGTTGCCTTCGCTGCTTAGCATTACACGATTTTATATTTTGTTTGAACAAACTATAAATAGTGTCGAGAGCTTCGCTTTTAGCCCTGACTAAATCTTAATATAAAATCATATTATGCATAATATATAACAATTATATATATATATTTCGTTTTGCAGATTGACGACAGAAAGGCAAAAGCAATCTTAAGACGCAATATTTAGAAGCAATAGTATTAATTGATTGAATAAAATGATTGCAATGAAACAAACATCTTTGCCTTTTGATTTTCTTATTTTGACCAAGTATATTCAACCAGTAGTCTGCTACACGCAACGCTCCTCCCCACTAAAGCAGACTAATCCAACCAGAGGCCAAAATCAATGTTTACGGACCGCTAAATAACAACTATTTCAACAATAAACAACAAATTCTAAACTAAGCTCAAAAGATGCTGTTACTGAAATGAGTGTAGGGTACATAAGCACAATCGAATTACAAGTTTTTAACAATCAATGAAACATTTTTCAAATATAACAAAATATTTAATTGCCCTCTCATAAAGTTTTTGGAAGAATCTGTCTTTATAAGGAAATCCAAAATGGCCGTCGCTTCCGACTGCGTGATCGGATCCAACTATCACAACATCCACTAAAAATTACGTATATATCTTGTAGAGCTGACTATCACTTGCTGTGTATTAGTAGCCAAGCAATGCAATTGGCGAAAAATGTTATTGACATGTGTTGAAAACAGAATATGGAATTTATTGAATGCGAAAGCCAAAGAAGTGTTCCGTTATTGCGGTTAATGTTGTTGTTTGGGGTTAGCGGTTCGTTTAATTGTTTCTTTAATTATTTATTTATTTACTTATTTATTTACAAATATTTCAGCTCCGAAAAACTTGTCTATTTTACCCAGAGGACAATTAAGTTCTTTCCTCGAAAAGTATCCCTTGTCTTCAAAATATTAACATTATCCAAGGGTACTGTGGTTCATGGTTATTAAAACCAAACTCTTTTCAAAGAAAAAAAAACTATATATAGATAATCGGCGTGCCTAAAATACAGGTCACTTTTCTCACGGATCAGAGTACAAGTCATCATGATACAGATAAACGAACAGTATTAAAAGTGTCTCCTAGCCCTAATCTCTTAACAAAATGCTCTATAAAGATCGAGGGCAATGTTTGTGGTTTGGTAATTTCTCGAGGGAGCAGTGACCGGTACTCTTGACCAGTGGAATGTGACCTGTACGTAAGACCCGGCAATTCATTTGTGATTAATTTTAGTTAACTGAATGGAAATAATATTCCAGGGAGGCGTTTTCAGTCACGTTGCCAGCAGCTAAAGGCCGAAGGCCGAATGGGCTCTTGACTCAGAGGCCAAGACAGCGAGAGGAATAATTGTTTTAGTTAAATACAACTAGTTGGTCAAAAATATCCAGACAAAACAACTTTAGCTAGTAAAACGCGATTCTGCCGCCATTGTTTTAGTTGTTAAAGCCGGCGCTTTTCGCTACTAGTGGGCTATAACATATAGCCTAGCAGTATCTCAACCAATCAGAACGCAGCATTGATAATAGACCACTAGTTGGATTTTACTAATACAAAAGTTCTCTTTATTTTCATCTATCTATCTATCTATCTATCTATCTATCTATCTATCTATCTATCTATCTATCTATCTATCTATCTGTCTGTCTGTCTGTCTGTCTGTCTGTCTGTCTAATCATGATTTCCACTGTATCCCTGGTCAACATCACGTTCAAAGATGCAAATGTCCACAATAAAATATATAAGTTTAATATTTCAAGTGATAGGATCAGAATTTGTTTAGCTGCAGGAGTAGCAGCATAAATAGACGAGGTCAAATTGAATAAGAGCAGAGTGAACAGAAAAAAAAAATTAAATCTTTCAATTGTAAACTTCACACAAAGCTCTGTTGACACAGGTTTCGGATGCTTTTTTCCTCTTTTATTACGTATGGAAAGTATATATATTATGCACCTATCAATGTAAATCCCGTGGGGGAGGGGGGGCGGGGAGTGCGGGGGCAAGGGGCGAGGGATTTGATGCCTGAGACTATCCCCCTGTCGGGCTTTTGATCGTGCGAAGCGACCCCGGGGTCGGGACATTTGACTTTGACCGATAGAAGCCTGGTATCAATTTAGAAGCGGAAACCAAGTCCGTCCCTCGAGGCTTTCTGAAAGTCACGCTGTTGGAGAAAGTTATGAAGTTTTCATTTGTTTTAATCGCCAAAGAGAAATTTTTTATCTTCAAGTTTCCATCTGATTGTAAACCTCGATTGAAATCGAATTCTACCGTGAAAGTCAGAGGATTTTTTACAGGTCACTGATTCGACCTGTTCCGACATGTTGAGCCGATGTTATGAAGCATTTTACGTTTCATTCATATAATAGCACCGTCAATCTTCCTGGACTGATTATGTTGTTCAAAATAAGACATGGTTGTGGAGAGAGAAAATACTTAATTACAGCGAGTAATTTAACGGAGCTTACGTTAACCTTGAATAAAAGAAGTAAGAACGTACTTTTGTAATGTTTTTTCATTCATTTTATATAGTATTATAGTATTGCTTGTTTAGATTTTTTCCTTGGGGTGGGGACTTTTTTGACACTTTTGATTGACCTTTCGTTTCCCACCCTGGGGAATTTGATGAAAAATTTTAAAATTTGTCAAATCCCCACCCCTTGCCCGCACTCCCCCCCCCCCCCACCGGGGTTTCCTTTGATGGGTGCATAAGTGAAAAAACCCGGGTTAAGGGGAAACCCCTTTTTTTTTTTTCAACCTATAAAAAGGGTTTTAAATAATAATAAAAATTTTTTTTTTTTATCGTCCGCAATTAAAATTCGAAAAAAGATCAA